GCTGGCTCCCCAGAGGGCCAGGCTGAGGGCTCTGTGCCACAGCGGTGGGTGCCATGGGGCCTGGACCACGGGCTCAAGCACAGCTCTGCCTGAGCCTCTTATGTCTCATGCGGGCTGCCTGGGTGGCCCGGCCAGACTCAGCTCACAATGGCCATGCTCGGTGCCAGGACTGGGCTCGCGGCCCAGCTGCACACTAGGACTTATATTTTAGAAGGCATGTGTCTCAGTCAGCCTGGCCTGTGTAACAAAACTCAGCCACCTCAGGCCAGGTGGAGTTGCCCTGTTGCCATGGACATCCACAGACAAAGGCCACCTGTGCGTGTGTGTCCATTCTGGTACCCACCGCCCGCCTCCGGGTGCCAGCTATCTCTGGGCTGTGGTGGCTGAGGCGGCCCAGCCAGTGTGCAGAGCTTGGTCGGGAAGGCAGGGTCATGGCCCTCCTGACCCTCGGGCCCCAGAATGCAGCTGCCCCCCGGCATGGTCTTGCTTGGCAGGCCCAGCTCTGGGCCAAGGTGGCCTTGCCAAGTGCCCGGATCTTTTAGGACAGTGCCCAGCAACTCCCCAAGGCCGAGGGGCTGTTGCTCCCATACTGCTTCTGGGGGGCAGGTGTACCCCTGAGATTCTAAGAGACCAGGCTGCTCTGAGTTTCTCTGCCCCCAAACCCGAATTTCCTGAACACCAAGAGGAATCTTCTGCAAGGAGACTTTTACTAGAGTTTGTTTGGGAGGGAAAGACCTAGCTTCTGGGAGTAGGGGGGTGGTAGGGATGGCAAAAGGGTTGGGGGACCTTCCTGGGGAGCTGGCCCCTGGCCATGACAGGGAGAAGGCACCACGTCATCTGCACCGGGGAGGACCCTGACTTCCATCGGGCAGACCGCCTGCCCCCGGGGCCTCCTAGACTCCCCGGGCCCCTGTAGGTACGAGTTTGGAGCTGGGAAGGGGTGTGGGCGCACAGCCTTGACCACACACGGACCCACACCTGCAGTTGAAAACCTCGCATAATACGGACGGTGGGTGCGGGCACAGATCTTAGCCAAATAACCAAACCCCAAGACCCACACGCAGGTCCAGGCACAGAATGCACTGCCAGGGTCCCCCAAGACCCTCCTGTCCTTCCACTGCCAAGGTGAGTACCTGGGGGGCCCTCCTGGAGCCGCACCGACTCCGAGGAGGCAGGAGACTCTCAGGTTTTGAGTTTGGTAACTGGACTTCCCAGCGGCTCTGCCTCCTCCCGCCTCCCCCTACTGGGCACCTCCCTGCTGTCCCGAAGCCTGAAGGGTCTCAAACATCCCGCCCCTCCCCACACTGTGCTTCCGAAGGGCCAGGTGGCCCTGTCTGCCTCCAGGCCCACCTCCCCCCCCCGCCCCCCGCCCCCGCTCCTAGCTGCCAGGCTGCACCACCAGAGCCCCGGGGGGTCCCTGGGGGGCAGAGAGAGAAAGAAAACAGGGGAGGAGGGCTGAGCGGGAGTGGCTCTGGACAGCTCTGGAGATCCTCCCTTCCTGCCAGAGCGTACCTGCCTCCTGCCCTGCCCCCACTGCCATGGGGCCCCGTGGGGACGAGCGTCCCAGGTGTGTGTCCCCTGCCCAGGTGGGCTGGATGTGCAGGTGAGGCTCTGCTCCCCCCCGCCCCCACCGGGTTCCCGGAAGCCAGCCCAGAGGAGGGGCCTGTACGGATGGACGCCTGGGTTTCTCTGGCAACATCAGGGCGGGTGCCCCAACCTCCTGCCCAACCTCTGGCGCACCTGCAGGTGCGGGTGCCCCATGTCTGTGCTCTGCTGGCAGCGGGCCTTCGAGCCGCGGCCCCCGCTTGGCGCCCTCCCCGCAGACGGAGGCCTGGGGTCTGCCAGCTGGTGAGTACCTGGGGGGCCCTACCTGAGCCCGCCTGGCCTGCCCCGGACCCTTGGGGGAGGGGTGTGTGGGGGCACGGGCGGGTTGGGAAGGGGGACAGCCTTTCCTTCTTCCATGGACGTGGCTGAGTGCAGGGTAGCCATCCTTCTCTGTCCTGCCTGCCTGAGGAGGGGTCTTCCTGTCTGGGGGTTGCCTCTGGGGGTTTGGGGCTCCTCGGGGCAAAGCCAGGCTGCCCTGGGCGTGCGATGCCCACGAGCCCTACCCCCGGGGCTGCCCTGCCTCTGGGCTCTGGTGCTGCTGTAAGGCCAGCGCTAGACTCTCCCTGATGAACTGTGCCTCAGTTTCCCCATGTGTACGGGGGGGGCATAAATACTCTCCCAGCGCCCGGATGGGGCTGATGGGTGGTTCTGCCTTGGTCCCACCTGGCAAGGCCATCATCTGACAATGAGGCTCAGCCTGGACCCCATCCAGCTAACTCCCTGCACTAAGGGCCCCTCAGGCCGTCCGGTCCTGCCACACTCCTCCATGCAGGAGTGCAGGTCACAGGGTGAGTCTGCGGTAGGAGACCCCCGGCCCCGAGTTAACTGTTCTGAGCTGTTTGAAGATGGTTTTGGTCCCTGGGGGTGTCCTTTCTCAGAATCCCCGGTCTACTCTGCTCGCTCCCGGTTTGGAGGAGGGGGTGCCGAGGGCAGGTCTCTGCTCTGTGTTGTGTGACTGTGGGCAAGGTGACAACGCCCTCCTCACGGGCTTGGGGAGGAGCCCCAGGTTGCCTGGGGAACGCCCTGGGTGCAGGGCCTGGCCCCTGGCAGGTGCCCCAAGCGGTCTCCACAAGTGACCCAGCGGGCCTGAGGGTGGGCGTGCGGGGCGGGGAGACGAGGAGGTGGCAGGGCCTGGGGGCCGGCGGAGCTCCCTGCTGACCTCTCTGTGGGTGTGGCCGTGAGACCCTCTTGGCAGCAGTGGATGGTGGCTCGGGGAGCCCCTGGGCAGCGGGTTTCATGGGCGGCAATGCCATGGGTTTTGGTTGTGTAGCCGGGATGGGGAAGGGGTTGCCGGAGCCAAGAGGCCATGGGGGTGTGGACAGCCTTCATTTCATTCCTCTGCCCGCAGAGCCCGCTGCTCGAGGCTGATCTGCGGGGTTTATCTCTGCCCCACCTCGCCCACCAGGGCTTCCATCTGGCTTCCCTGATGGCGCTCTCCTCCCAACGGCCAACTGTCTTCCCAAATCGCTGGCCCTGTGTCACTTTGTCCCCGCCCTCACATCTGCCGCCCTGGGGGCCCGACCAGCTTCCAGGAGTCCATCAGCTTCTGGAGAGCAGCTGTGGAGACACTGGGGCTGTTGGGGCAAAGTGGGCGGCAGAGGCTGGGGACACTGCCCTGGCCAGACTCCGACACAGAGCCTTCGGCAGCCCAGGCCGGCCCTGCTCGTCCCGCTCCGCAGACCTAGGCGGGGTGCACACGTGTGTCTGTACGGTGTGTACCAGAGGGGAGGCGTGTGCTTTTGTGCAGCAGGGCCCAATATGACAGATGCTCTTGTCACCTGCATATCATTTCCCCAGATATGACCTGAGCCTGGGTCAGCCTCCCAAGTGCTTCCTTTTGGAACTCCGAGCCCCCACCCCCCACCTTCTCCCAGCCCGTGCTTCTTGGTGGCACGTGGGCAGGGCGCGTGGTGGCTGGAGACTCTGGTCTGGGTACAGGGCCGGTTTGGGCGTGTTCACTGAGGGGGCCACCGAATGCCCAGGGCTGGGTCTGAGCAGGTGGCTGCAGGGTGTCACAGCCACGTCCAGGCCCGTGCGAGCTACGGTGGCTGGCAAGATCTCTGTGCTCTCAAACCCTGGGGCCCGGGGCTGTGGGCACGGTGGGCCTTTCTCCTTCGAGGTCCGCGGACTCTGTCCCCAGCCTGCTTGGTCTGCTTGGGGCTGGGGGCCCGGGGGACGAGCCGTGAGAAGCTGCTCCTGGAGGAAGGCCCCCACCCTGCTCTGCCCACCCTACCCCTCCAGCCAGCCCAGGCCATGAGAGCAGCTCCGCAGTGCCCGGGCCAGGACAGTAGCGTGGTCTGCACCGTGCAGTGGGCTGTGGGTGCTGTGGGTAGGCCCCCCCACCCCCCACCCCCCGGGGCAAGGGGCAGGGGCCCTGGTGAGCCGGTTTCTGGCTGCACTGGGCAGATGCCTCATGGAACGGGCCAGTGGTGTGGACCTGGGCTGGCAGTCCAGGCTCCGGGGTGGGCTGGGGGAGGGCAGAGGTGTCCTGGCTTTCCTTCCTCAGTCAGCCCCCTCCCCAGGCTACCCCCCCCACCCGTGAGCCCTCTGTGTTCCCTGTGTCTCTGACCCTCAAAGAAGAAACCTTACCAGGTGGGGGCTAGTGCTCTGCCCACTTCACTCATGAGCGAAAGACCTGCCTGAGGTCAGCAGCAGGCCCCTGGGATGTCGAGGGGCCGGGCAGGGGTGCGTGCGGAGGCTTAGCTTGCTCTCCACAGTAAGCCTCAGGCCAAGAAGCCCACCACCCTTGTGGTCCCCCACCCCCCCACCCGCTTCTGAGCCTGCCAGGACCCTGGGCCATAGATCTGACCCTCCCAGGACCGCTGCCAGGGAGACAAAACCACACAGAGCCTTGCCGCGTGCTGGGGGCTCTTGCAGGGATCCACCCCGGCCCCCCGCTGTCCCTGGTGCCCCGTGGTGGGGGCAGAGGAGCGGGCACCAGGACACAGTGGGGGTGGCATTGGTAGGTCGTGAGCCAGGGAGGAGGTGGGGGGGGGTCAGGATGGGGGTGCATGCCAGGGGAGCCGCCAGCTGGGCCTACTTCTCTGCTTAGGGTAGAGATGCGGGGGCCTGACCTGCGTGCGGGTGCCCCCCCAGGCTGTGGCCTCTGGTACCCACACTGCTGCTTGGAGCCCTGCCCGGGGTCCGGCTCACAGAGCTGTGGTCGCCCCAGCAGGTGCCAGAGGGCTGGGGTCAGGGGTGCACTGAGGATCCTGGGCAGGGAGAGGCCTCGGGGGGCTGGCACGGCTCCCGATTGAGAGCCGCTCTGGAGTGGGGGGTGGTAAAGCAGGCCTGCAGGGTGTGGCCAGTGGAGCGGGAGGAGAGGGAGGGGGCTCTGGGCTTGTCACAGCTCACAGGGCCACGACACTGGGGTTATTTACACTGTCACACACTCGTTTCACGATTTTGCTTTTATCGACTCTGGTGTGTGGCAGTCGGCTGTTCGTTGTGTTTATGAAACAGCTGCTTCCTGCAGAGGGCCGCGGCTCTGGACCCCCCGCTTTCCTGCTCGTGGGAAACCGGGGCCACCAGCTGACCTCCAGAGAGACGCGGGCACTTGGCTCCGGCCGCCACGGCTCAGGATGACCCTCTCCCGCTGTCCTTGAGGAAGTCGGGTGGACGCTGGGGAGAATGCCCCCCAACACCTCAGCCGATGTAGGCGCCCCAGGGCCTGGCCGAGGCAGGGTCCTTCAGCGGAGGCCCGGGGGCCGCAGTGACCGCGGGGTCCTTCAGTGGAGGCTGCAGGGGGTTCTGCTCCAGGACGGGGAGCCTCTCTGTGAACGAGAGGAGGCTGAGCCGTCTCTGGGAGTCTCCTCGGTTGTCCAGCCTCTAAGGGTGGTGTGGGGGACACCATGGTCACCCCCTGGTGATGTCCCCCGAGCTTGCCAGCCCCCGTGTAGCAGAAGCCGTCTGCAGGCCCCGGGTATTCCCAGCATGTCACGGGAACACGAGTGTGCCCTGCGGCTCTCCTGGAAGGGCCTGCTTTTCCAAAGCCCGGGGGCAGCCCTCTGCCATGCCGACCCCTCGAAAACATCCCATAAAGAAACACAGGGTGGGACCCACTGCATTTTGGCCTCACCAGGCGACGTCCCCAGTGGAGCAGGCAAGCCGGGGCAGGGCGGGACTCCTGGCCAGAGCTGGATGGCAGCCTCGGTGCCACCGGCAGGGGGACCCGCCTGCAGAGCTGTGTCATCAGTCTAGGCTACCAGGTGTGGTCGAGGGCCCTGGGGCCAAAGGCTGGATTTGGGGTTCTGCTGGCTCTGTGGTCTGAGGCACATGCGTCTTTCCCCTCATCCCAACTGCAGGAGAAGCTGGTTGTTGGGGTCAAAGGGGCAGCACCTCACATTCCAGGCAGGCCTGTCCCTGGGGTGACTCCTCTCCTGCTGGTGGCTGAATGTGGGGCTGTGTCCCTATGACCAGGGCCCCGTTGGGCTCAGGGCCCCGCCCCGCGTCCTTTCCTGGTGGCAGCTGGCTCCAGGCATCCCTGGTTCCCCAGGACAGGCTCTTAGAATAAGCCTCACAGAGGCTCTCCATTCTGCCTGGAATTAGGAGCTCTTTTGCTGCAGACCCCCTTTCTCTGGGGCATCCTGAAAACGAAGAGTTCATAGCCAGCTCAGCTATCCCGCTGCTCATGAACGCGGGCCATCCTGCTTAGCGCCCTCCTGCTGGAGTGAACTCACCAGAAGCTCACAATACCCAGAGGCAGGGCAGGGTGGGGTCTCTGGTCACCCAAGGTTACTCAGCTGGCTAGGGGCGGAGTGTGGATTTGAACGGGCTCTCCTCCTTGGGGGACCATGCCAAGCTCAGAGCCAGCTGACTGCAGAGTCCGAGTCCTCTCCACCATACTGCCCTGCCAGGGTTGGCGAGAAGGTGACAGGACACCACTGCAGGTGGACCAGGCTGGGGTGCTCTCTGAGGAGGGCAGGGCCAAGGAAGCGGGCCTGGGGCTCCCAGGGCTCAGGCATCTTCAGCTAGGATGTCCGTGGGCCAAAGGGTGCCCTGAGCATTTGCCAGGGAGAGCTGAGAAGCCAGCTCCCCTGACCAACCCCGAGGAGCCAAAGGCAGCGGCCTGGGAGGTGGTTCCCAGTGGGCGTCGGGCTGGAGCACCGAACCTCTCGTCTAGCTGCTGGGGCCGTGTCCGGGGCTGGCTCCTCTCTCCCGAACCGGGGTCCCCAGGCTGAGCCCGTCCGGAACTGAAGCTTGAGCCTGGGGTCAAGCCCCACCTCTGTCCCCAGCCCTGCACTGTGCCCCCTGGCTTTGGCTGAGCCCGCCCCCAGCCCTGGCCAGTCCACTCACCACACACACAGCTATGGGCTCCCGTGCCCTGGGAGGATGGTGGGGGGCCTGCCCGTGGCCCCAGCAGGAGTCGAAGGCCTCGGCTCTGTCGCTGAGTGACAATGGGGTTATTATGCTGTCACAGGCCACCCAGAATTCTCTCCCACCCTGCTGAGGGGCAGCTTGTTAGGAAGGCCCCCCAAGCCGTTGCCAGCCCAGGGCCCGGCAGCCCACCATGCCCACCCAGTTTCCACGACTATCCTGAGGGTTTCCATTGTGGGCCAGGGGGCTGGGCTAGGCCGTGACCAGCCGGCAGTGACCAGCCGGCAGTGGCCAGCCCATCCTGAGCAAGGATGGACACCAGGCTGCAGACCGGCGGGCTGCCCCGTGAAAGCACCTTCTGACCCCAGGCAGGTGGTGGCTGGGGGCTCACTGGGCTCTGCCCTCGACCCGGCCCTGTGGCCATGTCGACCTTGCTCATGGGGACGCTGCCTGCCGACCCAGGAGAAATGATCCCGCCCCAACCCAGAGATAACCAGAGGCGCTGCCCCGTCTCACTCTGGCTCCCTGGGGCCCTGGGCAGACCCTGTTTGCGCTGCTGGAGACGTCTGTGCCTGCCCACTGGGCCAGGCGGGGACCTGGGAGGGACAGCCTCCTTCCCTGGGAGGGCATCCGGTCACCATGAGGATGGAGGACTTGGGGGCCAGCGTGCCCCACCTGCATGCCTTCTCTGGAGCCTCAGTCTCCCTGTCTGTCAATTGGGCTGATGGTGGCGACTGCCTGCAAGGCTCGAGGTAGCAATTGGAGAGGGGGTGTGCCTGGGGGCGTTTTCTTGGCCCCCCTGCACCTTTCTCGGTTGTGGGCATCCTGAGACAGGAGAGTGAGGGAGCAGGAGGGGTACTGGGGGGGCGCACACAGTCTGAGATGTTCTGCTCAGCACGGCCAGGTCTCCACACCTGACTCACGGGCTGCTTCTCTGTCCCCAGGGAACCCGGGCTCCCTCCACCTGCGGCTGAGGATGATGCCATGGCTGCCCTGAGGTGGCCCAGGCCCTCCCAACAGCCAGGTGACCTGCAGGGAGCTCCCCACGTGGCCTGGTCCGACCACACCGAGCAGCCAGGCGCCCGGGGGAAGGCCCACAGCCACCTGGTGTGGTCGGAAGGCGAGGAGGCCAAGGATGGGGACAGCTCGGTGTCATCAGGCCGCCTCTCTGGCTCCTCTGGGGGCCACGACTCCTGCACATCTCCCCCCGGGCCCTGGAAGGAGAGGCCCCCCCAGGTGCTGGGGCCCCGGCGGCAGCCCAGGGAGAGCAACCCACGGCTGGAGCAGCTGCGGGACAAGATCCGGGCCCAGGCCCAGTGGCAGGCCAGCTGCGCCTCCCTGGGCACCTCCACACTGTCCAGCGCCTCACGCCTCTACAGAGCCTCCAAGCCAGACCCCCGGAGGAAGGCCGGGAAGCCGATGCACCCCACTCCAGCCCCGTGGGAGGCGCTCAGGCCTGGGGCCTCCGTCAAAGGTGCTGTTTTGGGGGCTGTTGAGTGGCTGCTACATGGGAAGCATGGAAGCCCCTCCCGGAACCTGTCCTCACGATGCCCCCTTTCGCTCCTCTCCAGGCTCAGGCGGCCTGAGCGTGGCTCCGTGTGGAGTGGAAGACAGGGCAATCCCCGGCCAGGGGTGCAAGCTGTCCGGGGTCGCCCGGCGCCAGGCCTCAGGTGAGGGGCTGCACGGCTGGCCATGCTGGCAGCCCTGCCCGGACCCTCCGGCGGCCGTGAGGGCGGCGCGGTTCTGGACCCTGGGCTTCCCTCTCTCTATATGACTGGCGCTAGTATGATCCCGCTCAGGCGAGGACAGTAGAGAGGGCCCCCCCCACCACGAAAGGGCCAGGCACAGACTTGGACCTGGCCTGCCATTCTCCGGAATGGGACCTCCTCTAAATCTCTGCTTCCCCCTCGGGGAAGGAAGGCGGGCAGGCCCTGCAAGGCAGCCCGGGGCTCAAAGGGCAGGGGGTCTCCTGCACAGAGCGGGTGACATCTTTCCTGCATGGACACATACCAGCTGTAGGGGCTGTGGCTGAGCCTTCCGCCGGGCCTGGGAGGTGCTGAGGGCTCCGTCATGGGTAGGCAGACTTCTTGCCGGTGTTCCGGAAGGGGCCAGGGGGCCGAGGGAAGGTTTTGGCTTACTCTTTCACTCAACAGATAGGAGGGGTGAGGTTGGAGAGGCAGACAGGAGCCATGCTTGGGGGCCAGAGGGCGGTAGCATTTAAAGAGTCTGGATTGCACCACTGGCCATGGGCACTGGGAACTGCTTTGGAGGGTTTTAAGCAGGGAGCCCCAGTGGGTTTGGGCTTTGGCAGGCCGGTACTGTTTGCAGGATGGGGAGCTGGGGGAGGATATCTCTCTAGTCTAGAAGGGCAGCCTCATTCCAGCAAGGTTTTGGATGCCCCGCAGTGGGGCAGGGGGACGGGCTCTGGAGCAGAAGTCAGGCTGTGCCTGGGATGCCCGAGGCTGCTGAGGTCTCCGGCGCAGGGGAACAGTATGGGGCCAGGGGACAACAGCGGCAGCAGGCAGGTTAGCTTGGGGCGGAGGTTGGTCAGTATGTGGGAACAGTATGGGGCCAGGGGACAACAGCGGCAGCAGCAGGTTAGGTTGGGGCGGAGGTTGGTCAGTATGTGATCTGCGACCCCCGGGGTGCCAGCCGCAGGTACTTCTCGTGTCCCGCCCCAGCTGGATGTGTGAGCGGAGTCAGATGCAGGCCGGGGCCAAGGGGCCTGCCGGTCCGAGCCCAGGGGGCAGCGTCCAGCTCTGGCCTGGCCGTGGGCTGAAGCCGCTCCCCGCGCCCAGGTGCCCAGGCCGGCTGTGGCTCACAGAGATCACCCTGCCCTTCTCCTCCTCCACCCACGGGGACCCCAACGGCCTCAGCTCCCCAAGCACCCCCACCCCACGGAGGCCACCGGGGCTCCTCAGCCAAGGTCAGGATTTGGCCGCTAGTCGCTCGGGGACTCAGCAGCCTCTAGTGTCATCGGTCACCATTTCTGACCGTCGCGTCTCATCCTCTCCCCGCTAGAACCCCCTGGAGGCAGGCTTGGGGCAGGGCCTAGGTCTTTTTTTTTTTTTTCTTTTTAGATTATAGTAAGGTACACATAAGATTTACCACCTTCACCACGAGTAAATGCACAGCTCAGGGGCGTCCGTGCGCTCACGCCGTTGTGCAGCCGTCCCTCTGTCTGTCCCCAGAACGTGGTCATCTTCCCAGACTGAGCTCTGTTTGCGTCACACACAGACCTGTGCCCTCCCCCGGCCCCTGCCCGCCTCTCCTTGTCTGTGGGTCTGACTCCTCTAGGGCCTCGTGTCAGTGGATTCTACAGAATTAGGGCTCTTTTTGTCGGCTTGGGTGCTGGAGGCCCTTCCTGCCAGCAGGTTCTCGGCAGTGAGGACTGAGGGACCGGCCCGGGCCTGGAGAGTTCCTTTGGGCCAGGCTTTTCCAAGCGCCCCTGGCCCTGCTTACACGGCACTGGCTGGTTGGCTTCTTGGTGCCCCCCAAACGCAGCTGCACCCCGGCCGTGGACAGAGACACTGAGGCTGAACAGCACTGGGCCTCGGGAAGCTAGATCCCTCCTGCCGGCCCACTGTGCTTGCCGAGGGACTCGGACAACCTCCACCCCCTTGGGGTCTCCATGTCCCCTCCTGTCCAGCCAGGCGGACCCCACCATGCAAAGCCCCTGCGGTCCTCACTCTGATCCCACCTCCCCCCGCGGAGCCCCTGTCCAGCCTGGCTGGCCGCTGCTCCCTGACAGCCCACTGAGTCAACACAAGGGCCGCAGGTCAGCCTGAGATGGGCAGGGCAGACCCAGCTGGGAGGCCGTTCCTGTCCTCAGGGGCTCTCGGCCCCAGGTACCCTGGAAGTTGTGAGCAGTCGGGGCCCTGTGAGGGAGGGTGTGGAGGGCCCAGGCCTGCTGCGGGGCGGGCAGTCCAGGATATCCCTCCGGCCCTGCTCTCGGCTGCCCACTCTGGCACAGGCCCAAGGAGCAGGCAGGACAGGGGCTTTGCTCCATAGGAGCCCGGGTCCACAAGCGTGGCTATCCCCGTGAATGTGACTGCTCACCTTCCCTCCCTCTCCTCTCCCTGAAGTTCCGCGGGAGAAAGCCAGAAGGAGGCAAAGCAGTCCTTGCAAAAGGGAGAAGGCCCCCAGATCACCCATCCCCAGAAGAGCCACCAAAGACAAAGGTAAGGTCTGCCCATTTGGGGCCATGACATGTCCTGGGTGTAAACGTCTGTGACTCAGCTCACCAGGTGGGCACACGGCTTTCTGGCGCATGATTTCTGGTGCCGGGGACAGCAGAGGCCTGGGCTGCTGTGGGCCCGGGGACCTGGGATTGGCAGGGGCTTGGGCGGGGGGGGGGGTGGGTCTGCAGGGCACAGGGGAAGGGAACAGCGCTGGCGTCCGCATCTCTGGGAAACGCAGACCCTGGCCGTCACCGTGGCGCTGGGGGTCCCTGCCCATGCAGGGCCCACCCCCATGATGGAGGGAAAGCCCACAAAAGCCCCGAGCCCCCAGACTGTGAAAGTCTCCAAGCACACAGGGCCGCTCACTCACTGTGCCTTCACACACATTTGTAGCCTGCACGCGTGTGTGTGAAGACGCACCGGTGATGGTGGGCGGCTGTGAGGTGTCCGGTGGACAGATGTGTTGGCTGCGCGTCGGCGGCATCCCCGGGGAGCCACCGTGCAGCGGCCTTCAGTGGCCGGGGGGAGACGTCTGCAGGAGGGAGGGCTTTCCCTATCTGCCTGGTTTGTTGGACTCCAGGCAGCAAACCCACAACACCTGCTTCACTGAGCCCCTGGTGGCGGCAAAGGTCTTTGGCCTTGTGTCCACGGTACTCGGAGCCGTCATGCAGGGGCGCATCGGCCGACCGTGTCCCAGGAGAGTCCGAGGAAGACGTGGGGACAGTGGTGGGCTTGAGGTCCCAGAGGAATTTCTACCTGGGGCGTCTCTCCCCTGGGGCCTGGGCGGGTGGCGGGGTGGCGGTGTCCGGCAGAGACCCAGCTGTCCAGCCTGGGTAGGTTTGTGGCCACGCCCTTGCCCTGGATGCAGCAGTCCCCAGGAGGGCCCCGTGTGGCTTGTGGGGAACGAGGCGGCACTGTTCCTCAGGGGGGTCACTGCGGAGTAGCTGCACTCCCCGGACCCCAGTTCGGCCTCCCTCATGGCCCTCCTCCGCCACAGGCGGGCTTGCCCCCATCCTGTAGATAGGGACGCTGAGGCTCACAGAGGCCCCCGCAGGCAAGCCAGCTCCAGGCCTGTGCGGCTCACCCAAGAGAGCCCAGTGGTGCATGCTCCGCCTGTGCCCCGCGCCTTCAGACCCACCACCTCTGCTGGGGGCAGCGCCGGCTCTGGCGGGACCATGACTGTCTCCCCTCTCCCACGCTGGCTTCAGGGCCCCTCGAGGGAGGCGGGCAGCCGCAGGCCGCTGGGGCAGACACATCTATTCAGCAAGGGTAGGAGGCAACAAGAGAGGAGAGAGAGCCTCCACTTGAACCTGACGGTGAGGGATGCTGGGAGCCACGGAGAAGGTTCCAGAAGGCCCACTGAAAAGGCACGAGATATCACAGTTTTCTGGATCATTGTCTCCTCCTACCCCTCAGCTTTTGGGTTTGCTTTATTTCAATGGCTCTCTTGACAAATGACCTGCTTTCCGCCTGACACTGGGTCAGAGGGCTTGCCACGGGCTGCATCCATCATCGTTAACCACCGTGTCACCCTGACGGACTTGACCATTCGTTTCTGTCAGTGACCAAGTCACAGCTGGGCTAAGGAGAGATGAGCTTGGGGTCAGAGGTCAGAGCCACAGGACTTGGGAATTGGATGAATTAGGAATTTGCTGTAGTTAACAAAAAATTAAATCGCAATAGTTATAAAATATTCATCCATCCGGGCCGATGGAAAATGAAGCCCAATATTTAATTTCAGACTATAGCACCTCACTTTGCATTTTTTACCATAGATTAGGTCGGCCCTGGGACTCTGACAGGGCACCTGGGGACTTCATCCATTTCCACAGATTAAAAATCCTCTCGTAAAAAAATTAATTGCCATTAGACTGCTCGGCGGAAGAAAAAATGTGCCCATCAGGACCCATTTACTGACCCGGACCCCTCTGGTGGGCTAATGGGGGATGAGCGACCGGTGTTGGAGGGGCCTGGCCATCGGGCAGCCCCTTCGCCCGGGGTGGGGCGAATCCCTGCGTGGTATCCCTGGGGAGGGAGCCGCGGTGGCAATTTTGTGCAGTTCAGCCGTGTCGGGGGACCGGGGCAGAGGAGACTTGCTGGGGGGCCCAACCCCACTGGTGCCTTTCAAAACCCCAGTGTGTCCAGCTGGGCAGTGCCGGCCTCAGCCCTGGCCTTTGGCTCTGCCCGGAGCCAATCCTGACCCCTCCCGGCCCGAGCCCTGCAGTGAGGGACCACTTTCATGTTTGTGGTCCCGTGGGGTGGCGCTCACAGACGGGGAAACCAAGAAAAGTCACTCCCCCCAAGGCCCATCGCTAGTCATCGGCAGAGCCAGAGTTAGACGGGCTCTTAACCGCCGGTGTCCCAGCAGCCTGGTGTGGGAGGGCGTGGCCTCAGGGGCCCTCGCTGGAGGGGTGTGGCCTGTGGAGGGGTAGCCTTGGGGACAGGCCCTGGAGAACAAGACTGCAAGGTGGTATAGCCTTGGGTCGTGTCCCAGAGGCCTCGGCTTTGGGGAGTGGCCGAGGCCCTTCCTACAGGTGTGGACCTTGAAGGGCGTGGCTTTGTGCAGGCCCCTCCCCTTCCTGGGGCCGCTGCTCCAGGCCTGTGACTATCTCGGGGTCTGGGCGGTGGGGGAGGGTCTCTGACCCTGTTGGCTGCCTGACCCCAGGGGTCGGCTTTCTGCATGGCCTCTGCCCTAAGGCACCCTTGCTTGGCAAAAACAACCCCTTTATGGGAGGCAGGACAGGTCTTGGCCTGGGAGGTCCAGTTTCCTGCCCAGGGCTGGACCTGGGGGAGATGCAGTGTGCGTGTGTGTGAGCTAAAGCTTGGCCAGCGCTTCTGGCCTCCGCCAGCAACCTGGCTTGTAGTGACTCTGGGGCTGGTGTTGGCATTTGGAGAGTGTAATCTGGGAGGATGAAGTAAGAGCTTTGATAAATGATGTTTCTTATGCGACAACATTTGTTAACAAAAGCTCATTGGTGGCTGGGAGGCGGTGGGCGTTTGTGTCTGTGTTCCCTGGGGCCCCCTCGTAGGCGGAGCCTCAGCAGCATAAAAGCGGAGGCTTTCCTTGGCTCAGGGCAGAGGTCGGCGCAGCATTAGCCTCCCACTCGCCGCTCCTCATGACTACAGTCCTTGCTGGTGTGGGCCGGCGTTGACCGAGGACGTGCGGTGCACCTGGGCCCGTGGCCTTGGTTTTACAGGCAAAGCCGTGCGGAGCGGGTTTTATTACCCCATTTACCCAGGGTCAGAGAAGTCAGGTCACCGTCCAGAGTCATCCTGGGACTCGGGCCTGCCTCTTGCTGGCCACTGGCTGAGGCTCACCCCAGCTCCTCTGGGAGCGTGTGAAGCAGTCTCCGTGGGCTGCCCGGGGCCAAAGACCTCCCCATCTGGGCCCACATTCGGAAGGCCCCGGCCGCTCTGCTGTGTGTGCGTTTTCTCTGTTTAAGATTCTGAGTTGGTTGGTGTTTACGCCTGGAGGAAAGGACCCGCCCTGGTGAGGGCCCTGCTTGGGCCCCCTCCTGCCCTCCCCAGACTCCAGAGCAAGGCTCCCTCAAGAGACCAGGCCCCTACCGTGGAATTAGGTAGCTGCTACCCCCGCCTGTGCTCCTCCCTGCTCTGCTGGGGCATCAGGGGGTGGGCGCGGAGGGGAAGGAGGTGGCGTTGGGTGCAGGAGCAACCTCTCCCCAGCGGCCTGTCCAACGCCCTCCAAATCTGCCATCAGACGGGACTTGGAGAAAGCATTATATTTAAAAGCCAAAGAAAGGTTTTCTGCCCCTGAGAGACATGTTTTAGGCTCCTGGGAGGCAGGGCACAGCCACCTAGGCTTTCCCATGGTAGGGAATGCAGGATGGGAGCGGCAGGGGCTCCTCTAGGAGACACAGGTCAACCCCCAGTCGTGCCGTTTTCACCAAGTCTAGAGTGGGTGGCTCTATGCCAGGTCGAGTCACCCATATGTGGCACCTGCACCCAGAGGTGCAGTGTCCAAGTCCATGATGCATGTAAGGGCCAAGGGGCGAACTCCCTGGAGCAGGGCTGAGGGTGCCTGGGGCAGGGAGCTGGCTCTGCTCCTCCTGGGCCCTTACGGCCCCTGACACCTGCGACCACCTGTCTCTGCAGGAGACAGCAAGAGAGTTGGAGCTGCCGAGAGCTCCCCTGTCTGCCCCCGGATGCCCAGTCCAGCCTCTGTCCAAGGTGACCTGCAGCTGTCTGCCAACGCACCCAACCTGGCTCCCTGCGATCAGCCTATGACCATCCAAAACGCTATGGCCATCCTTAGAGACCTCCGCCAGCAAATCCAGGCCGGGCTGGAGCTGGCCCGGCACCGCCACCCCAGGGGAGGGCCAGAGCTGGGGCGGTCAAAGCTGTGGCTGCAGGACCTGGCGGGGAGGAGGCAGTGGGGCCCCTGGAGCACCCCAGACGTGCGGGGCTCCTTCTCCAAGAGTCCTCAAGCAGGGATGGAGGGGAGGCACTCCTCCTTAGAGAGGCCTGGCAGCTTCCCCACTGGGCATCGCTGGAGCACCCTGGCTGGGTGGGAGTCCTATCCCCAGCAGACTGGAGCGGCCCCAGGACGGAACCCCTCCTTCCAGAGGCCCGGGAGCCCCCCTGAGAGGCTGACCTCCTTGCTGCAGCGGCCCTGGAGTGCCTCGGCCGGGCAGGCCTCCAGGCCCCAGCGGACCTGGGCCACTTACGAAGACTGGGAGAGCCCCGCCCGAAGACCCTGGAGCCCTTCTGCCCAGAGGTCCCGGAGTGCCTCCTCCACGCAGGGCACTGGCACCCCATGCAAGGGCAGAGGCTCCCTCCTGCCGCCCTCCGGAGTGGAGCACGGCTGGCTGAGGCCCGCCAGGGGCGCCCCTGGGAAGGAGGACGAGGTGCGGGTGCCGCCACCCTGCCCGAAGCCCCGGGGTGCCCTGGGCCACCCCTACAGCACCGAGGTGCTGCGGGAGTTCATGCGCCAGAAGACGTTGGCGCGGAGGCGGCAGGCCCTGGAGGAGAAGGCCTCGGCCGTGCGGGCGCTCGAGCTGAGGAACCAGAGGCTGCAGGAAGTCTACAGGAAGCAACGGGAGGCCGTCCTCGGCAAAGCCGTCCCTGTGGTCTCCCAGACGACCCCCGGCATTGTGACCTTTTTCCCGCATTGTGCGCCATCCAAGGTAGGTGCTGGGTTCGGGTGAGGACGCGGTGCCGGCCAGCTCAGCCCCTGAGCTCCCGGCAGCCCCAAATGCCTGCCTCCCCGGGGCTGGTGGAGGAGGGAGCCACTGCCTCTGCCCCAGCCCTAGAGAGGGGACCCCCATGGGGTCCAGCCTGAGCCCCTCTAGAGGGCAGGGCTAGTCCTGGGGCTAAGAGACCGGTCTCGGGGTCTTCCGGTCGGGACGAGGATCTCACTGTACTCTCCTCTGCTTTAGGGCCTGGAAGCTCCCGGGAGCCTGGGGTCGCCTGTGCTGGAGTGGAGCAAGGTGACCTCCGGCATGGTGCTGGGGGACCAGGAGGCCCCGGGCAGGTGGGTAGGCAGGCGGGGGCTGCCGCTGCTGGGTGGGGCTCCCTCTGCCCAGAGCGGGTGATCATGGCGGGTGCCGCTTCCCACAGCACATTTACAGTGCACGATGCAGGGGCATCGGGCCATCCCCCCCTCTGCTCACAGAACATTTCAGCACCCCAAAAGCAAACCCCATACCCGTCAGCAGCTCCCCAGCAGCCCGCCTGCGTTCTGCCTCCACAGAGGCATCTGTGGGGACCGTTCCTATGAGCGGAGTCCCACAGGTGTGGCCGTTGGGGTCTGGTTTCTTCCTTGGGGCATGTTCTCCGGGTTCATCCCTGCTGTAGTGCCTGTCAGGCCCTCCTTCCTTCTTCACGGCCAAATAAGACTCCACTGGATGACACTGCACACACTGTGTCCATTGGCTGGCTGGTGGACACTTGGGCCACCTCCCGCCTTGGGCTGCAGTGAATGAATGGTTTGAATACCCGTCTTGTGTTATGGACGTGGGAGTGGATTCACCGGGCGCCTCTATAGGGGAAGGCTGCGTTTCACTTTCGGGGAGCTGTCAGGTGGTTTTCCTCACCGGCTGCGTCGTTTTGCATCCCTCCCCCAGCAACGGAGGAGGGTGCCAGCCTCTCTGTGCTCTGCCAACCCTCCTTTTCTGTTTTGTTCTCTCTTGTTTTTGTTGTTTTCACGATTGTGTTGTTTTTTTTTTTTTTTTGAAGATTGTATTTGTTTATTTGACCGAGAGAGACAGAGAGAGCACAAGCAGGGGGCAGGGGCAGGCAGAGGGAGAAACAGACTCCCCACTGAGCAGGGAGCCCGACGCGGGGCTCGATCCCAGGACCCTGGGACCATGACCCGAGCCGAAGGCAGACGCTTAACGACTGAGCCCCCCAGGCGCCCCTCTCCCTCCACATCTTAAAGACATCGTAGGGGAATACACATAACATGGATTCACCATCCTCACTGCTTTTAAGTGTGCCAGTCCGTGCGTTCACACTGCTGTGCACAGTCCCCTCTGTCCGTCCCCAGCACATGGACACCCTCCCGCACTGGACTCTGTCCTGTTAAACCCCCTTCCCATACCCCCGCCCCCACTCCCGCGCCCCACGTGTGTGGATCCCACTCCGCTCGGGCCTCCTGGGAGTCGATCGTCGGGGATTGGTCCCTCACTCCCAGGTTCATCCACGTTGTAGCTGGTGTCGGGATTCCTTCCTTTTTATGGAAAAGTGGTGTTTTTGTTGTTGTTGAGTTGTAGGTGTTCCTCATACGTCTGGGCAGCGACCCTTATGAGATCCGGCGTTTGCCATCACCCCCCCCCCCCCGGAGGCCACCTTCTCACTCTGTTGACTGTGTCCTTCCATGCACACAACTTGTGCACTTTGAAACACTTTGGTTGAGCTCTTTTTTTCTCTTGTCGCCCTGGCTCTTGGTGTTAAACCCCAGAACTCGGTCTTTCTCAGGCCGTGTGTGGCCCCTGTTGTATAGAGGCCCGTAGCCACCCCTCCGGCCGGAGACAGTCACTGCAAATGGACGCACTCCTTCACAGAAGCTGCGCTAGGCTCACCCCTGCACACACGTGTTTTGTACACGCAGCAGAGGATGCATGTGCCGGACCTGACCCCCTCTGCCTTCTCTCCCTGCAGCTTCTGCTTGTGTTTGAACAGAGCCTTGAATCACACTGAGACTCTAGAGATGGACGGCCCCCAGGACGGCTGGGATGGTGCCCCCATGCTGATATCCGCCCGCTCCTCCCCGGGCCCCCTGAAGCTCCAGGACCTGACCACCCGCCCCCCGCGCCCAGGCATGTGCATCTACCTGGACCCCGAGGAGAGCGAGCGCCTGGTTACACCGGGGCCCCTGCACTTCCGCTACAAGCAGGCTCGGCTACAGGCGCTGGAGACCATGGCCAACGTCCTGAAGCAACGGATTGACATCCTCACGGCCAAGCTGCACAGGTCGGAGGCACCGGACACTCTCGGGGACCTGGTCTCAGACCTGTCACCCTCACGTCGCAGCACTGTGTCCACAGCCCCAGTCTGCTCTGGAGCCCTGGTGCCCAACAGGAGCGGAGGGGCCCCCTGGGACTGGGCAGACATGCCGGCCAGGACACTTGTCCCTCCCACCTGCTTCCTGGACGGCAGGACTCTTCCGTGGAGCCCCGACTGGGAGCGGCGACAGAGCATGAGCCCAAGAGGCCACTACGACAGCAAGCCCCGAGGTAGGGCTGGGGTCCGGGCTGCGAGTGACCACCAGCCCCGCCAGTGGCCAAGGGGACCCCGCTTTCTCCCTGCACCTCGGCTTCTTCTCCCTAAAGGGGACATAATGAGGACAATACCACAACAGGTGTCTGGGCCGCCTGAGGGGACGTCGGTGGCAGTCCTGGCAGAGCCTGGTCATGCGCTCAATCTTCCATCAGCTACAGACCTTGTCAGCACCCTGGCCCTGGCGGGAGGAGGGGTGAGGCCTGGCCCTGAGGCCCTTCCAAAGAGGGGCAAGAAAGTGGACACGGCCCACCAGGCCCCTCCCTCCGTCCCCACCCCCACCCGCCAGGGGTTCCTCCCCTCCTGCCAACTCCTGGGGTCCATCTCTCCAAGGTTTCATTGAGGACGGGCGTTTGGAGCTGGATAACAGGCTGGCAAGAAACACGGCTTCCTTGCAAGCCCTCAGCCCCTTCATCGGAAGGTGAGTCTGCGCCCCCCCCGTGCCCCCCCGCGCCCCCCCACGCCTCGGCCAAGCCACGAGCCAGCGGCAGTGCACAGCTGGTGCGCAGGGGTCCGGGTGCAACCGGGCTGCTGGAGGGTGACACAGCTGCTGACCTGACCGCGAGAAGCCCCCAGACTTGGGTCAGGGCCTGCTGGCTCAGGCGCTGGCCACACGGTGGCTCAGAGACTCCACTCCGGCTGGGCCGTGGGCAGTGGGCTCCTGACCCAAGGTCCCCACTGATGGGGGCACAGTCCCCGAATGCCCCCTTCCGCACGCTCCTCTGCATTGTCTCCCGGCCCCAGGCGGACACTGTCGGCCACACTTGTCTGTGTGATCGGCGGGTCCCCTCCCCCCCAGGTCCTGTGTCCCGCGTCTAAGTGCTCAGGACCACCCACCCACAGACCCTGCACCTTCTCATGGCTCTCGTCCCCAGCAAGGCCTGAGGCCTTCGGGGGCCCTTTCGTGCAGGCCCTGAGTCCAGTTGGTGGAACAGAATAATGGCTGCCAGCAGGGGGCAGCATTGGGCTGGACTGCTGGTTCTCCACCGCCTGTGTCCGGGACCCGGAGGAGTGGTCTGGGAGGGGAGAGGCCCCAGAGGTTGACGGGTTCCCCGGGGCTCCAGGCAGACACCCCACATCTGCGCGTCCCCCTGCTGGACGGCGGGCAGGGCCTCACAGACCCAGCCGCTCACACCGCCGGGCATTCCCACACCCAGGCGCTGCGTCCTCCCAGCGCCCCCGGCTCTGACCAGGCTGTGCAGAGTGCTGTCCTGGACGACCCAGCAGCCTTGCTGTGCGGGGATCAGCACCCAGGGACTTTGCGGGCCCCTCTGCGTCCAAAAAAGCTGCCTGGCCTGTCCCTTCCAAAACAGCAGTTGCTGCTCCCAGGTCACAGCTCTGTGCCCCCTCGTCCAGCTTGTGGCCCTCCCTCCACTGCCCCAATCTGGTGCCCCCCAAGTTCTCCAGACCCAGGGCCTGGCCCGTCCTGCTGCCTCTCAGGCCAGTTTCTGAGTTGGGGTGGGGCCATGCCCCACACTGTCCATTCCCTGCTGGCACCGTGGGGCTCCGTCTGGTTGGGGACCCAGCCTGTCCCCAGCACGGCACGGTGAGGATGCCGGCTCCACCCTCCAAGGGCCCAGCATCTGGGGAAGGAAGGGGAGGGGAGGGCACGCCCCCGCAGGGTGCCTGTCCCCACCCGCAGGCCCTCCTGCACCTCGGGCAGTGCCATCAGCACTCTGTGAGATGTGTTCTCATTCCCATTTTACAGATAGGAACACTGAGGCTCAGAGAAGCACAGTGACATGTCAGGATCACATAGCTCGTGGGAGGTTCTTCCTCCCTGCGCATTCCCTAGTCCGGTACTCTCAGACTATGCCCTGAGAACTCGTTAGACATGCAGAGTCCCCGGCCCACCCCGGCCCCCCTGCACCCGGTGCATGAGGCCAGTCCTTAGGATCTTTTGAGAACCACTGCACTGGGAAGTCTAGGCCTGAGGTCCACAGGGCCTGCGGGCCCCTGCTTGTCCGCGGACAAAGCTGGATGGGCAGCCAGCCACGCTCATCCTTCACGCAAGGGGGCAGCAGTCCTGCTCACATGGCAGAGTCAAGTCGTGTCCACAGAGGCAGAGGCTGAGTGGCCTGCAAAGCCCACGTGTTTGCCGTGTGTCCCTTTATGGGATGTGTTTGCCGACCCTGGCTTATTGAACGATGGCTGTGCGGGCACTCCCTTCAAGGAGAGCCGCCGAGTGCCCCTGCAGCGACCTGGTCTCTCCTGTCCCCTGATGGTCACGCACTCCGGCAGCAGCCCCCGCCCCGTCCCGGGGTCTACCTGGATTCAGCCCCTAGCCCGTCCACTGCCTCACCAGGGCTGCTCCCTCTTTCCAGGACCCTCTTTCCAGCCGTCTCCCCTGCAAGGCCAGGGGCTGCAGGGTGGGGACTGGGCAGTCACATAGCAGGTGCTCCGCAAACACTTGGGGCGACTGGAGGAGGGCCATGCCCGCCCCCCCCCGTCAGTCTCCACGGCCCACGGGTGTGTCCTTAGTCACTCGGGCAGTCCTGAGTCGCTGTGCGCCAGGGGGACAAACGTGACGTGAGGCAGAACTGTGTGCACCGCGGACACAGGCGCCCTGTTCACACAGTCGTTTCCCGGGTGGGGCTCTCCCGGCCTACTGCTGTCTCCAGAAAGGCCCAACCTGACGCCTTCCTCCCAATCCTGCCCGTGACATGTGCTGGCCAGCCTCAGGGCAAGGGGTTAGAGTGGCCTGAGCGGGGACAGGCCTCCGAGTCCAGCCGGCCGGCTGTGACCCCTGCGTCCTCGGGCACCTGGCCGGCTCAGGCTCCATCTGTGGGACGGGGCAGCGTTTTGGGCCATGAGCAGGTGGTGGTGAGGGTTAGGGCTGGTGTGTCCACCCCTCTCCGTTCTGGGCCTGGTGGACAGTGCCCCTTAGCAGATGGTAGAGGGAACGACAGAGATGAAGAATGTGCTCTGTGCCCCTCATTCCCAGAGTGGCTGTTTTCCCCCAAAGGGCCTGGCGTGGGAGCAGACCCAGAGCAGGCCCAGGCTTCCAGGCAAAGGGCATTCTTGTCTCAGCGCAGTGCCCAGCAGTGGTGGTGGAAGCCAAGGCTCAGCTGTCTGAGCTCCTGAGGGCTGCTGGTCCCTGGGGTACCAGTGCGGAGCCCCCTGCTGCCACTCACAGATGACGCCCCCCCAAGCTGGGGGACACTGCTGGTGTCGGCATCCATGGGTGCCACCTGCTCACTGCTGCCCTCCTGGTCCTCTGGTCACAGGCCCATCCCCCTTAGGCCTCTGGTCCTTGGCTTCAGCCTGGGACCTTGTGGGTCTGAGAGCTGCGTGTTCAGGCCGAGGGAAGCTGGCTTACCTCCCCCCACCCCCCGCCAGCCCTGCAGCTGCCTTGTACCGCATGGATGTGCCTGCCCGACTCTGCTCACGTGTGTGTTTGTGTGCCCCTAGCTCACTCGGGGTGCCAGCCATGTTGGACCCCACCTGCGGCTCCCTGCAGCTGGAGGAGATGCCGTCGGCCAGAGGGGCGGCAGGCTTGGTCACACCCTGGACCGCGCAAGGCTGCGGTAAGGGCGAGCCTACGGACAGGCCCTGGGCTGGCTGGTCGGGTGGCCGGGGAGGTCCGCTGGGGACCCCCTCCACTGCCTGATGCTCCCGTGTGGTCCTACGGGTTTAGAGAGATCCTTTTCTATGTGGAGAGTGTCCACGCGTCAGTATTAAAGTTTTTTGGAGGCTTTTGGAACCCAGTTGCTGGCTATGTGCTCTTGCCACGCCTCTGTTGTGACTGATACTTGGTCCAGGGGGGCCGTTGACGGCCCTGCTCCCGGACCTCTTCCTCGAGCACCCGCCGGCCCAGGCTTCTGCCTTTCCTTTTGCTTCTGAAGGGTTTTGTCCTGGGTTTCAGATGAGGAGACTCACCCAGGACCACAGGGCTGGTGCAGAGCGGGCGGTGCAGGGGTGCGTGGGGCGGTGCCCTGCCTGGTGCGCCAAGGGGATGGTGGACTGTGGGGTGCTCCACTCAGGGAGGGGCAGCCGGAGGGGCCTGGCACAGTGGCTGGGGATGTGTGTAGAAGGCGGCCCACTGGGGGCGGGGGGTCTGTGCCATCTTCATCCCACGGCCTGTCTCTCCCACCTCCCCTGCCTCGTGCTCTGGGGGACTCTCCAGCCTGTGGTGGGGGCTGCTGGGGAGCCTCACACCTGGCCCCGCGTCTCGCTGTCTCCCGAGGCACCAGGAGCCTTAGCAGCCAGCCTGCTAATTAATTTATTTGTTCCTCTCTCTGCTCTTCTAACTTGTACCCACTGAGCACCTGCTGTGCCTGGTGCCCGAGATCAGGCCCAGCCCTGGAGGCACCTGCTTTTAGTGGGGGAGGCATCAGAAGATGCTCAAGGCAGGGCACACAGCATGTCAGGTTCCGAGCGATAAGTGACAAGGATACGTGACCAGCTTCCGGGTAGGGGTTTCCACCGTGTTTCCAAGTCCCAGAGAGTGCGGCCCAGAGAGGGGCAGCGGGAGGCCGAGGGGCACCCAGGGATGAGCCGGGATTAGGGCTTGGACGCAGGTGCCAGCACTCTGTCCACCCCTGCTGCTCTTCTGGAAGGCTGGCTGAGCCAGGGGATGGCCGGCCGCTGTGAGGGTCAAGGGTGAGTCCTAGTCACCTGGAGGTGCCTGCCTCCTGGCCAGGATCCTGCAAAGGGGGTCAGGCTCTGGCCTTCCCTCCAGAGTGGGCAGCCCTCTCTTTAGTCCTCTCTAAAGTCCCATTTACCATGCCTGCAGGGCCGAGCAGCCAGAGTGGCTCCTTGCTCTTGGGAGGGACGTCCACGGTGGGGGCCCCGGTACCAGAGGCCCCCCGAGAGGCTCCAGCAGGAACGAGCACTGCTGTCCCTGCAGTGAGGTTGGGGTGAGGACCCCGGAGGCACTGGCTTCAGTGGCTTCAGGGAACAGTGGAGATGGCGCCCCCATCCATCACCTCCACACCTGGGGTCCTGGCTCCCAGGAACCTGGGCACAGATTTATGTTCCCGAAAGCTGGGAAGAACACAGGTGGCCCTCACCTCTCGACTGTCAAGTGGGGTGACGTGAAGCGCGGAGTTGAGGCAGAAGGCACGCGTCCCTGAGGATAGCCACTGCGGGGCTCTCAACTTTTAGTGCTGCTGTTAGCAGTGCCCTCTCCCTCCGGCCCTCCTGGGATGCCCGGCACACTTGCGCTCCCTGCGCGGTGTCTGCCCACGTGGGGCGGTCAACATCTGCGGGGGGCAGGCGGCCCTACCTGGAGCCCACGGGGAGGGGTGTGAGAGCGGAGCTAGGGCAGAGAAGGGGAGCCTCTCCACATCCCAAGGGGAAAACCATCAGGCACTGGTTGGAAGGACAAAACACCTGCATTGTGGACTCCCACAACCAGGGGTGAGCTTCCCCACGGACTCATTCCGGGGAGCGGCGGTCAGTGGGTCCCCTGGGCTCCAGGGCAAGGACAGGCCCTCCTGCAGAGCTGCCCCTCCCCGCAGGCCCCTCTCAGCTGGGCGAGGGGCTGGGCCGAGTTAGAGGGGGCACCATGCCACCTGCTGTGGGGCCTCGGGGTCCCTAGGCCTCCCACCCACACTGGCCATGCCTTCCAGAGAAAGGAGACAGGGCAGAGCTGTCCCAGTCCCCTGCCCCGTGCCACATCCACGAACGGCCCTCCGGGAGCCTCGGAGTCTGGTCTGGGAGGAGCTGTTGGCCAGGGGCCCTGGTAGCTTCCACAGGCTGAACCTGAGCCTTCTGGAGAAACCTGCCCCTCTCCCTGGCTCGGCCTCCAGGCTGCCTCTCCAGGAGGTGGGAAGCAGGATGGACGACGGGGTGGAGGCTCACCCCAGCTTCTTGGTCCCTCCCGCGTCCCTCCTTACACTGTCTGTGGGACAGGGCCTATGTCTGTGCCGAAATCCTCTGGCAGGATCTCTTTACCCTGAGGCTGCAGGCAGCCCCCAGGACTCATTTGAAATCTGAGCTGCCCCCGCCTGCAGTGGCTGAGAGCAGGATCTCAGGTAGCCAGAGACCGAGCAACGAGCACACCCAGTGTGCGTGTGCCGGGCTTGCATCCGACACCTCCTCCAGGAAGCCTCCCAGATAACACGGGCTGGGCCGGGTCCTGCCGCTCACCCGGTCATAGCTTGCTCTGCGGGCCGTGAGCACCTGAGTGAGGGTCTGGCTCTCCCTGCAGTTCCAGCCGCGGCCTGCCACGTGTGTGTGCCTGGGAAATGTTTGCCAAGAGTGTGAGTGCGCCAGCCACGCGACCCAGGGGAAGCCGGGCCGTTCTGCTCTGGAGGGGAAGCACTCCTGAGCGTCCTGAGTGCGGGGGCCAGCGCTGTGTGCCCACGTGGGCCTCACTGGTCTCAGCGACTTGGGGGGGGTCCCACCCTCACGCCCCTGCTTATGGAGGAGCCTGGCGTTCAAAGAGGCACCATCACCTCGAGCCAGTCGGTGGCAGAACAGGGGTTTGGACCCAGTTTCTCCTGCTGGGGGCAGTGTTGTCCAGTAGACAAACGTCTAGACCAACATCACCCAATAGTACTTATTTTCGAGACCACGTTGTCTGGTGGAACCTTCTGGAAGGAGGGGAATGTTCTAGATTCTGGGCTATCCAGTGTGGTAGTCATCAGCCACATGGCTGTCTAGCCAGGGAATGGGGCCGGCAGGACCGAAGGGGGGCGTGTTAGGGTTAGTTCCTTTTCATTTAACGTCAGTGGTACGTGTGGTGGCCGGCGGTCGGGCCAGACGGGGAGACTTTAGCTCCGGGGAGGGGGGCGCTCCCACCCAGGGCGCGGTGTCCTGTCAGCTCCTTCCGGCTTCAGGCCCTGATTCCCCGAGCTCAGCCTCATAACTGAGAACACGCTTGTCGTGACATGCCCGCCTCGGGGACAGCTCGGAGCTCAGGGCCATGGAGCCCGTGTCTCCATGGTGACCGTCTGGGGTACTGACATGTGGGGCCAGAGATAACAAGGAACACCCCTCCCCCAGCCTTCGAGCCTCCCGGGTGCCCGCAGGACGGTCCGCGGGCGCTCGGGCTGGCGGGGCCGGGGGGTTCCTGGGCATTTTCTCTGGCTCCAGCTTCTTTCCGTGGCCACAAAACAAAAGCAGAGGAGGATGTTTCCTTCTCGAGGGAACTTCAGCTCAGAAGAGACACTTCAAGCCGTTCTCCCCAGTGGGTCTCCATTCCCCGTGGAGGCCAGCAGGACGGAAGGGCTGCCCCACGCTCAGCACACGTCAGGTGGCCGGAGCCCCTGCTTCTCCCCCGGCCTTCGTGCTTCAGAGTTTTCTCAGTGCCATGGAAATGCCCGGGGGCTGGTTTCGCTGAGGTCCACAGCCGCTCCCACTGGGGCCATGGAAGGCTGGGCCGCTCTGCTCTGGATGAGGAGCACTGTCCGGGGGACGGCATTCTCCCTGCACACTGACCAGCCACGACGGTCATCCAAGAGCCACCAGGAGGGCACCAGCCCCGGGAGGGAGCCCACACACCCTCCTCTGCCCACCCCCACCAGGACCAGGCCCAGAAGATGGGAGGCGGGCCAAGGAGGGTGCAGCCGGCCACCCCTCCGACCATGGGGCCGCCCCTAGAGGCAGCCACAGAGGGGCCCAGAGCACCAATGGTGTGCAGAGCCCGAGCTGGCCCCTCCACTGCCCTGGGGGACTCCCTGACCCGGGTGGGGAGGCTGAGGTTTCTCTGCTCATTCTCTGGAGCAACCCCAGAAATCCCAGGGACGCCTGGGGACCCTCCCAGCTGTGACCCTGAGTCCGCAGCAGCAGCTGCCGTCTGTCCGTCCCACACGTGCTTGGGCTTCTCACCGCCGGGGGTGGGGGGCGCGTGGGCACCTCGTTTCCCGGCCGAGGCTCTGAAGGGCTAGTGATTTGTTCCAGGTCACCCAGGGAGGTCTGTCTGCTTGGCTCCCGCTGTCTCTGCAGACTCGGGCATCGCTCCCAGGGGAGTGTGGCCGAGGGTCAGGCGGCAGAACCCTGAGCTGAGGTGGAGCAGTCCCAGCAGCCGGCTGCCTCCCCCTGCCGTAGGCTGCACCCATCCGCCCTCCCTGGATGCTGTGCTGGGAGTTGGGCGCCTGCCCTCCTGCAGGACGAGGGCTGAGGCTGCTCAGCTGCCCCTTCTCCGTGGCTCCCACAGGTCAGCGCTCCGGGCACCTTGCCAACGTCCCCCGGAAGTCCCCAAGCTTTCTCAAGTCCCTGCAGGTGTGTCCTGCCCCCATCTATCGGGCTGATGACAGCTGTGTCCCCGGTAGGCCTGCCTGGCTGGGGTGAGCGGGGAGCAGCCCTTGCCCCCCGGAGGCTGAGCGGAGAGGCCTGAGTGGGGGGCTTTTGGGTCATCCCTCCGAGAAGTGGGGCACCACCTGCCCTCTGGGGATTAGGGCTTTTGGGGAGCCATGGGGCAGCCAGGTGGGGCCCCCCCAGGAATCCTGAGGCTTGGGCCCTCCCTGCAGCTGGACCAGGAGAAGCAGGAGCAGGTGCTGACCCTTCTGCGGCAGCGGGCAGAGCTGGAGGTCTGGGAGACGCAGAAGGCCCTGGACCAGCTGCTCTTCAAGCATCAACTGGAGGTCAGCCGGCCCAGCCCGAAGGCCCGAGGGCTCTTCCCAGGCATGCCCCACTCCTGGCCAAGGGGCAGTGCCACCCCGCCTGCCCACCCGAGCCTGGGGCCCTCCCGGGTGGCTCTCTGGCTGCATGGGGGCCACTTGCCTTTGTGGAAGGTCAAGTT